GATGACTGAAATTTCTGGACCTTCGTCTTTATTTTATAAAAAAACTCTGTGTTTACTTGTTTCCAGCGACTCTTTTACGTTGAGTTCAGTGTAGTTACCCAGGAAACAAATTAATGCTGTCTCATTCCATAAGTTACAGTGTTTATAGTTAATGGCACGTTCTGCTACACATAATAAATGGTAGTTTTTGTTTTTAATACAAATTTGTGTTCAATCAAACGACATTTCAGTTAATCGATTGCCTGACCGGTACAGACCGGTATGTTGCCTGACCGGTACAGTCCGGTATGTTGCCTGACTGGTACAGACGTTGTTGCATTCACACTTTATTTTGTAAATTTGTTTTTATCGAAAGTTATTATCTTTGAATGAAGGAGGAAGATTACAATTTTTTTATGAGATCTATAAGCGATTTAGCAGTCAGTATATCTAGAAAAAAAGGTTTTCGTTTGGTTTGAGATCTTAGGGTAGGCAAATAAATATCTTCCTTCGTGTATAAACACTTTAAAGTGCCGTGAGATCACACAAATTCATTTTAACAGTTATTTTGTTAAGAACTTAATCAATGATTATCGGGTTGTGTCCTCTATCTGAATTCAATGAAAAAGTCAACATCGTTGGACGAAATACGAAATGCTCTATAAGTTACAGTATGAAAAACGTCAACTTTTGAGAAAAAGTGTGACACGAATCTATATGGGGCTTTACAATGATGTAAAAGGCTTCCGAAAAACTAACGTTTTTAGGAAAAAATCAAAGTTTCTACTTATCAAAACGTAAAAAAAACTCAGTTAGTTGTTTTGATAATTCTGAATTGTAACTTTAAAGTTATCGTTTGAATTGTTTACTTGGTGTTAAGCCTTAATGTCACTGTGACTCCACATTACCAACGTATCTCAACTAAAGTTTTAGTTTAAGTAACGATGTGGTTTGATTGTTTGTTTGTAATTAAGCACAAAGCTACACAATGGGCAACCTGTTCTCTGCCTGTCCATCATTAAGGAAGGGGGGGGGGGGTATATAGTGTTTTATATAGTGTATAAATTAACTTTTATTAACAGAAAATTTTTCCATATGCATATATATTTATGTTTTATGTGAAAATGACCCGAGAAACATAGACGTCCCTCGGTGGGACAGTGGTAAGTCTAAGGATTTACAAAATCAGGGTTTCGATTCCTCTCGCTGGACACAGCAGATAGCCCGATGTGGCTTTGCTATAAAACACACATACAGAAACATATACGTTCCTTTTTTACGTTTCTAGAAATAAACTAATTAGTTTTGCTCTACAGAATCATGATGAACAAATAAGCTTATGAAGTTCTAGTTTAACACAGTGAAATTTGTATAGAAAACAAAGAGGCTAAAACATATCTCTTGTCTTTATCGCGGGTGTGAGTTGGGTATTATTTCAATATTATCATCCATTGTTGGTAAATGGGATGAGATTCGCGTCTTTAACTATGAAAATGAACAAAAAATATGCATTAATTGCTAATGAAAGACATGAATGTAAACATTTTAGGTTTAGCTACTAAGTTAGTACTTCACAACCCTAATGCTATAATTTCACAATTTGTTATCATTGTTTGTTATAAGGCTTCGTAGTTACAGATGAAACACCAGAGGGCACGACGTTACACAAAACGTTGAGCTTGTATCTGCGAGGTGTGTTAGAGTAAGCTGTACTTTAATAAAATATCAAACTGATAAACTTGACAGTATTTTACTTAGAATGTTGAGTGAAAATCGTCTGTTTATTAATCTAGAAATGTAAGTACATATCCAAAATGAAAACGATACAAATAATTGAGGATATTAGTCAATACAAATTCATATTTCTAAATTAATTAAATGTTAGACATAAATATATATTTCATTTATTTTTATATCACAAACATTTGGTAGAAAAAGTGTCAACTATATAGAAAACACTAACAAGCAGTGGTTCTCCTCATTAAAGGAGACTCTTCTGAAGCCAAGAGAAAGCCACATTTATTATCCTTTTATATTAACGTCTGAACAAAACGGAAGAAATCACTATGTATATGAGAGCAGATTGCAGGTGATAAAAATAACACGTCGCAACAAGACAGAAATAATAAGGTTTTCATTCACCGAGAAAAAAGTAACTTAGGACAAATGGTTTTCTCCTACATGGATAATTTATTTCCAACTGTATGTTAACACAACGGACGTAATAAAGACGTAAAAAATCCAGTGAGAGAATGCAATGGGAAATATTTATTTATAGATTAATCTTGCGAGCCCTCCCCCCCCCCCCCAGTGGCACAGCGGTATGTCTGCAGACTTCATCTTGGCTCAATTCGCAAGAAAGACTAACGTGTATTTTACAATTCGCAAGATGTTTGTTTGTTTGTAATTAAGCACAAAGCTACTCAATGGGCTATCTGTGCTCTGCCCACCACGGGTATCGAAACCCGGATTCTAGCGTTGCAAGTCCGCAGACATACCGCTGTGCCACTGGTGGGCTTGTTTGTTTGTTTGTAATTAAGCACAAAGCTACTCAATGGGCTATCTGTGCTCTGCCCACCACGGGTATCGAAACCCGGATTCTAGCGTTGCTCACTGAATACGTTCTGCTGTAAGTGTCACTGAATACGTTCTGCTGTAAGTGTCACTGAATACGTTCTGCTGTAAGAGCGTCATAAAAGTGCGATGTCACTGAATACGTTCTGCTGTAAGAGCGTCATAAAAGTGCGATGTCACTGAATACGTTCTGCTGTAAGTGTCACTGAATACGTTCTGCTGTAAGAGCGTCATAAAAGTGTGTGTCAATCCCGTTATTCTATCTCAGCAGCTGAACAAGGATTTTGTGGTGGCAAGTGCTGCTGATTAAATGTCCTCCCTATGAGTTGTA